CAGGGATGACAGGACTTCTTAGGCTTTGTGTAAGGATAGTACACATAATGCCTTTAGAATAGTATTTGACACATATAAATCAGTTGATAGGGACAGGTGTTTGGCCTAGAAGTCAGGACATCCTTGTCCCATACCAGGGTGCCTGGGTTCAATACCTGGCTTCCACTCCTGACTCCAACTTCCTGCTAATGCAGACCCTAGGAGGCAGTGGTGATGGCTCAAGTGATTAGGTTTCTGCCATCCACATGGGAGACCTGAATTGAGTGCCCAGTTCTCAGCTAAGTTCCTGGCCATGGACTGTTGCAGGCTTTTGGGGAGTGAACCAGCAGATGGGAATTCACTATTTTCTTTCTTTCTCTCTCAAATAATAAAAAAATATTAAAATAAAAAGAATCATTGGCTAGATTGAATTACTAACTCACAAAGGTAAATGTGTTATTATAAATGTAAAACAATAAGACAATAGGCTCCTAACATTTTAGCACTACAAGATCTTAGAAAACTATAGCAGCTTTCTTGCTGTTCTTCAAACATGCCAGACACACTCCTCCTTAAGGAACTCTGCACACATTATTCCTTCTACCTGGAACATAAATTGCTGACTCTCTCAGCTCCTTCAAGAGTTTGTTTAAAGGTCAACTCAATGGGACCTATCCTGACGGCTTTCTTTAAAACTGCAACCCACTTTCCTCCTTCATGTGTTCATTTTCACCAGAGCACCTTGTACCATATTATGTAACTTGCTTTTTATAATGGTTATTGGCAATCTTTCCCTTCAGACAACAAAACTCAATGACAAAAGGAATTTTTACATTTTGTTCACTGATATATCCCAAGTACGTGTTCAAATATTTTTGGATGTCATAATCTGGTCTAATCCCTTCACTTTACAGATGAGGAAACTTAGAAGAGATTTGAATCAAAGTCACCCAGTGAGTCAGGAAAAGAGCCAGGAACAGGGAGTATGACCTGCAGACAAGTGTTATTTCAACTATAGCTCATTATCTCCTTGACCCTTGAACATTACCAAAAAAATCAGGATCATCCACATTCTCCCCAGGAAGGTTTACCTTTGGAATTCTTGGCCTTGCAAATGCTGCTGTCTATGTTCTGAATGGCAGCAGAAGCCTTTATTGGAATGCTAAGTGTCAGGAGAGGAACAGAAGAACACGGCTGATTTGGAAGGGCAGAGTTTTGATAGAGGGTTTGTTGTTGTAATTGTGGTTCTGATGACCCAGAAACAGGTGCTAAGCTAGAAGATGGCTGCCCCTGTGGCTGGCCAGCAGACCGTTGCTGGATGCATGCTGGCTCGTGCTGTGCTGGATTTTCCTGTACGGGAAAAGTTTGACTGCTGTCTAATGCCTGAAACGCTTGCGGCTGCTCTAAAGGCTGTATTACACATGGTTGCTCCACTGCCGCAGACTTTAACTTTTCTTGCAAAGGAGGTATAATCAGGACCATGTTTGTAATGGTCTCTGGAATACCTGGTAATGGATGAACTCGGTTAGGTAGCTGTGAATCAAGTACCTGCTGCTTGAGAGCAACATGCTGGCTATACACAGACTGCTGTTGATTTCGGGGACCTTCTTGGGTAGACAACTGACAGGTTTTCTGTGCTTGTCTATGAGATGAATGAGTCATCTGCTGATGCTGAATGAAAGCTGAATGAGGAACCTGGCTTGGTGTTAGATGTGATTGGGAAAGCTGTGCTGAGAAATGTGGGGGATGGATCTGGGCCTGTGAAGAGGCCTGCTGAATGAAGGGCATCTGCCCAGGGAGTTGATATCCTCCCATTGCCCTCTGAGATGTAAGGCTAGTTGACAGGGCCTGAGCTTTTAGCTGCTGGTGTCCAAAACCGACAGCTGCTTGGGATGGAGCCACTGAAGGCTGGACATCAAAGGATCAGTAGAATATGTTTGTGTATCTAAAGTTGACAGTAAACACATCTTTTGTTCCAACATTAAAGTAGTACTACCTTGTGGTTGTGTTAAATAGGTTTGTTGCTCAGAAGTCCGTTTTACATAAGGTGGTGCAGAGTACAACTTCTGATCTGTAGAGTTTGTATGCTATCAGGAGGGTTATTGTGTAGACTTGTTGGGTCATAAAGGTTGTCTGTTCAGTTATTTGGATGGTGTAAGTAGTTTGTCCTGAATAAGAGACATGCTCAAGAGGCAGTGCCTAACAAGCAGGCTGTTCCATAGGTTGTACAGGGTAAGGTACAGGTTGTCCTGGCTGGTCAGGAAAAGGTGACCCAACTGGGGGTTGCAATACAAAAGTAGGCTGCCCTCGGGCTGGTGCCAAATAAGAGGGCTATACTGCAGGTGGGACTGGATAAGAAGTCTGCATAGAACAGGTTGGCTGTGATCCTGGTGGTTGTACAGTGCAAAGAGTATGCTCCAGGGCTGGCAATGAATAAACAGGCTATGCTGGAGCCTGGTTTGGGTGAGCTGGTTTGTTCCTGGGGATGTACCACAAAAGGCAGCTGCGCAGGAGCCTTGAATGGGAAAGGCAGTAGTTCTGCAGGTGGTCCTGGATAAGTGTGTTGAACAGAGTAAGATAGCCGTTCCAGGGGCTGAATCACACTTTCATTACCACCCTTTGGTTGCTGCTGACTTGCAAGAGCTTTAGACTCTCGCAGAGTACAATCCTGCTGACAGCTTTTCTGTGGTGATGCCATAGGCTTATGTTGTAAAATTTATGGCTGCTGCTGAACAGAGGCTTGCAAATAAGGCTCCTTCAAATGCACAGTCTGGCTTTGTGGCATTGAAGAACCTGGAGTTATAGACTCCTGATGTACCAGTGGATATGGCTGTGACACCACATGCCCCACCATTGGAATTAGAAGGGAGCTGAGCTGCACTGTCAGCATTTTGTGCACTGCTCATATTTTGGGCAGAAGAATGATTTGACAAAGCTTGAGGGTGATCAACCAGTAAGAAACTAGAAGTCTGATTGGCATCTGGTGCTTTGGTTAATGCCTGATTCCCATTTCTAGGGCCAGGCTCAAGTTGAAGACCAACAGTTGGATACTGGAAAGTCATTCGTGAAGCAGGCAATGTCTGAAGACAAAGTGCAGAAAGGATTGGCTGTGGAACTCCAGTAACTGGCAAGTCTAAAGTCATGTGTTGGGCTGAAGTCTGTCCATCTGTTCCAAAGGCCAGTTGTAGTTCCTGATGCTGGTGCAAGGAAAATTCAAATTATAAATGCATATACCATGCCCATTTTCATGGGACTGTCCCAGACAGACTGCTAGATATAATAATGCTATGTTGGGTATGTTCTAAAAATTTCAGCAAGTTATCAAAAAGGTGCTAGGTATAGCATTCATTCCATAAAAATCCTAATGCCAGCTGTAAATGCTAAGTGAACATACTAAGGGGCTGACACTAGTTCCAGCAACATGCTCATGGTTTCTCATTTATTAGACTTACCACATAATTCATTCAAACCCAGGCAGAGATTCAGAGTAAATGGATCTGACACTTTCACACACCAGAGAATGGAAGTCCCAAGAGACAGCTCAAAGGAGTTCAATATCATAGCTAAAATGAATGTAGACACTATCTGAAGAAAAGAGGAGAGTTGGCTGAAATAAATACAGGTTGGCTGTAGTAATTCCTAGAGCTTGGGCCAATATACTCATAAAAAGAACTAAGGCATCAAAGTGCTTGCTGGTATGGCTTCTATATAGTAGGTGAGAAAGGCAGACTACAATAAAACAGTATCCACATGATATATGTATCTATAGAAAAAGATAAGCCCAGAGGCTCCATGGCAAAATATAAACAATAGGTTGTCCTTGGCTGGAGAGATAACAGGTGATCGTTACTTTCATCTTTATAACTTTATGGACTTTAAAGTAAGGAAATAACATTTTCATAATAATTTTTGAAAACATCCTTTTAAAATTTGGGGCACACATTAAAATACACATACCTGTATGCTTTTGTAGTTGAACTTAAGTTAAATTTAAGCATCCATTGAACATATTTTGAATTATAGGCTTAGAAAGAGACAAATCAGACCACAACACGAGTTCCTTTACAGATATGCACCCTCTATTTCATACACACTAGCCAAAACCCAGGCACCATCAACTATCTTAGACTGAATCCACCCCAAGCAGATTTTATATGCATTTGGCATTTATAAAGTACACATATGCTTTCTCCTTCCAGACCGCAAGGTCCCTGAAGGTAAGGATCATATTCTTCATATTCTCAGAAAATAGCAGTCATTAAAAGCTTGCTGATGAACTCTGACTAAATATCAAGCTCCTAAAAGAAATAGATGTATCAGCTGTTAACTACCAAAGAATGCCCAAGGGCTTAGACTATCTAGCTCCCAGAGGGAAGGTACATGCAGGGAATGGTGGAAGCAGAAGGAAAAAATAGGGTAATGGCAAAGAAAAGCCCAACTATGTGTCCAGAGTCCATAACCTAGGGAACCAGCTATAGTCTCTTGATATATGAACTCAAAGACTGTTTACTCATTGTCACAAATGAGTAACATTCACCTTAATATCAGCCTGAAAGACAAAAACACATCTTGTTTCTCCTACAGAAATAAACATGAACCAAAACAAGTCAAGAATTTAGATGAACATGTTGAAAATTACGAAAGTCTATGAAATACTACTTGTAATTAACTACAACAGGCATCCCTCCACATTCAAACCAGGCTAGAAAAGTTCAATACAAAGAACAAACTATCATTACCAAGAGGAAGAGATCAGAGTCCTAAGTAAATCTTTTGTCTATACTCTGAGTTCTCAGTTTTTTCTCCAATTATACAAGCAGTGTCTCAATATTCTAGTTACATAATATTAGGCACATGCTCAACAGGAATGTCTTGGGTGAAGAAAAACAAACAAGTTTCAACTTACAGTGACCTTTATCTGAACTATGATGAATCGAAATAAGAGAATCTTTGCCCATCACAAAATTTAGGCAGTGTTGAAATTGTTTAAATGAATACAGAGCCTCTGTAATATGTCTTACCTTTACCTGTGAGACCTTCTGGACAGTTAATGGGGAAACTTGAGGCTGTGAAACAACTGTAGGTCCAAGGGCATGTACAGGCAAAACAGTGGACTGACCCTGAACCAAAGGCAAATTTGGGGATTGAGTCAGCTTTGGCTGCTTCTGCAACTGTTAAATAAGAAAAACTTAAGATTAAAGATAAATTCTTCCGTGTAAAGTAAATATACTGATTATATATTTTAACAGATGACAGTACACCTCACCCCTGAAATGTGCTGGTAATGTCCTGCTAGTTGTTGAGATGGATAAATTTGACTTGGAACATTTATTTCAGCTTGTGGGATGTTAGAACCCATTTGAGACGCCATCTTCTGGTTTGGGGAATAGGCTATACTGGGCTGACCCGGTGTATCTGAACGTGTAACTGATCCTGCTCCTGCCTCAGACAAATTGTCACCTATGACAAAGAAAATATACAACAGAAAGCTCAAATCATAATGTCCAAATTGTATAAATGATGGTAAGTAATGGTAAGTATTTTTTAATGTTTTTTTTACTCTGACAACCTGAAAAAATTAAAGTAGAATATGTACCTGCAGGGTTAATCAAAAAGCCATCATGTAAACTCTCTAATAAGCAATGAAATATTGACACTGAAGAATAATTGAAGTGTTCTTAGTAAAGCTAACCTAAAAGCAAAGAATTACATAAAAATCGACTTCATTTACTTACCCCTGAATAAGCTACACTTGCCCTTATGATTTCAGTAAAATATAAGTGTCATATTCTCTTTATTTTAGAATCTAGGTAAAAAGAATACTGCCTTTATAGAACAACTGGTTACTACTATGCAAGCATCATGTCCTTCTGGAGAAGAGAATGCACTACAGCAGAAAAATTAGAGGAACTGTGCAAATTTTATACTTAAATACAAAGATATTAAAATCTAGAAAATTCCTTCTTGAGGAATAAATTGTATTCTTTAGTTTCAAATTTTCTTTATTAAAGGATTTATGTTAGATTCTTAAAAATGTGAATAATGTTGTTTTACTTGTTCCCTGAACAAAACAACATGTTAGATTATAAGCCTTCTGCAAGAAGTATGCTGGACAAGACACTAACAGAATATTTTCTCAATCTGAAAATAAAGAAACTAGCTGACCTACTCAGGGGTTTTGTAATAGGCTCGTAAAGATGATAGATAAAAGAATGCTTTGAAAAACACCAAAGTGTTATTTAAAGATAAGGAAATATAATTGCACATTTGTTCGCTGTGACAAACTCTAACTGTGTTACCTGTAACAGAGGAGCAATGTTGCTGTGGCTTTCTTTGTAGAAGCTGTTGTCGAACATGCTGATCAACTTCAGTTTCTTCCCATTCAGCCCCAGTGTTCTGAGACGGAACAGGGGGCAAAGTTGTAGTCTTGTGCTGAGGGAACACATTCCCTTTAGACTTGCACTGGGAATCCCTTCGCTCTTCCAAACATCCAGCAGGTTTCTTCTCCCTCGTTTTCTTTATCAGGGTCACCCGGTCTCTAATGGATTTAGCAACAGCTTTGGAATCACTTTCATGGAAAAATCCAGACTTGACCTACAAGTGAAAACACAATAAGTGAACTATTTCTTAAACATGTAATATCTTATTTTATTAGCAGAGTTATTTATGTCCCCAAATCACAAATACCATTGAAAAACAGTTCATCTATTTCTATGTTCTTTCATAATCAAAGACATACATAAATGTCAGAGCATTTAATCAACATAAGAAAAGCAACAGTATTACAAAGTATAATTGAAAAAATTCTGGCATTACACACACAAAAAAAACACACAATATATCAGTACATGCAGCTTTATCAGAGATAATATATGATTGCCATAAATTTTTGTAAAATATTAACAAGATTTCCTTATTCAACAACATTAAGTGTTCATAATGTGCTTAGTACTGGGCACCAAAGATATACAGGTGTCTGAATTTGATCTTTTATTCTGTATGAACACAGAACATGGTAGTTTAAGAAAGACACAAACTTATATACAAATGAAAAAGATATGAGCTGCTATCCTAAAGAAGCCTATGACCTTCTGGAGGAAATACAGGAAGTATCACAGAGGAAAGTAAATTTAGGCCTGACAAATGCACTAAATAGCGCTCTGGCCTCAGAATCAGCCCTTAAGGCATTTGTTTCTAGCTAAAAAGTCCATGAGAGTTTCTCAGGCATGGACACCCAAGACACTGTGGCAAAAAATTGACCTAAATGAAAGATCTCTGCAAGTGAGATCCCAGCGGACAGAACGGTCCATCAAAGAAGGAGGTACCTTTCTCTGAAGGGAGGAGAGAACTTCCACTTTGATTATGGCCTTGTCTAAATAAGGTTGGAGTTTGTGAACTCAAGAGGCTTCCATTGCCTTGGCAGCTCATGACGAGCCTCGGGTGATTACTAACGTCATAAATAAGAGTGTCAATTGTTAAATCAACAACGGGAGTCACTGTGCACTTACTTCCCATGTAGGACCTCTGGCCTTAATGTGTTGTACTATGCGAATTAATGGTAAAACTAGTACTCAACTAGTACTTTACACTTTGTGTGTCTGTGTGGGTGCAATCTGTTGAAATCTTGACTTAGTATATACTAAGTTGATCTTTTGTATATAAGAATAATTAAAAATGAATCTTAATGAAGAACAGGATGGGAGAAGGAGTAGGAGATGGGATGGTTTGTGGGAGGGAGGGTGGTTATGGGGGGAAAATTCAAGAGTTGTACTTTTTTTTTCTTTTGACAGGCAGAGTGGACAGTGAGAGAGAGAGAGACAGAGAGAAAGGTCTTCCTTTTGCCGTTGGTTCACCCTCCAATGGCTGCTGCGGCCGGCGCACCGCACTGATCCAAAGCCAGGAGCCAGGTGCTTCTCCTGGTCTCCCATGCAGGTGCAGGGCCCAAGGACTTGGGCCATCCTCCACTGCACTCCCGGGCCACAGCAGAGAGCTGGCCTGGAAGAGGGGCAACCAGGACAGAATCCGGTGCCCCGACCGGGACTAGAACCCATGTGCCGGCGCCACAGGTGGAGGATTAGCCTAGTGAGCCGCAGCGCCAGCCTCAAGAGTTGTACTTTCAAAATTTATATTTATTAAATAAAAGTTTTCTTAAAAATAAATAAATATATAATAAATAAATTGAATGGAAAAAATTCTGGCCTGAATTAAACACTAAAAATGGAATACATAGGTTATTGAGGAAGGCCAACATTCTGGTAGAGGAAAATATGCTCACAGCAAAGTACTACATGTTACTAAGCATTTGAAGACAGAAGAGGAAAGGTTCTGACTTGCATTCTCAGTAGACTAGGGTTGAGAAGCCAAGATGACTCAGGGAGGTAACATGGCATTTCATTCTCAGTCCTATAATCTGCATAGTTTTATGGATCTTAACTCTTGGTAATTTCACGATAGATCAAAGATGATTAAAATGTTTAACAAAGCATATATATTTAACTTTATTCCATCCCAAAACTCAAACACAAAAACTCCACCAAAATCCATAGTCCATGGATTTCTAAGTTCTAAACCAGCAAAGACAAGGAGAATAAGAGAAAAGTAGCACCCTGGAAAATAGAAAACAAATAGATAGAGGGCAGCATGGTGCGCAGTGGGTTAAGCTGTGGTCTGCAGCACCAGCATTCCATATGGGCATGGGTTCAAATACCAGCTGCTCCACTTCTGATCCAGCTCTCTGCTAATGTGCCTAGGAAAGCAGCAGAGGATGGCCTGAGTTCTTGGGCCCCTTTACCCACATGGGAGACCCATGGGAAACTCCTGGCTCCTGGCTTCAGCCTGGCCCAGCCTCAGCTGTTATAACCATTTGGGGAGTGAACCAGTGCATAGAAGATCTATTTCTCTGTCCTTTTCTCTCTGTAACTAAATGAATAAATAAATCTTTAAAAAAAGAAAACAAATAAATAATAACCAAACTAGTAGATGTGGGAAGTGTGAACCAGAGAAAGCTGAAAATCATTCTCTTTTATACTGAAAGATACTCATAAAGCATAGGAACTGGTAGCACTAGGTACTTTTAGAACTGAGGGTAAAGTCAAAAGAGATGGCTAAAACCCGGAAGACCAAATAAACAGGTTTTGAGGAAAAGTTACTTAGGCCTCCACATTCCACCCTCTATTCCACATTTTTGGGTAACTGCTTCTTCATTAACCCATAAGTCTGGATTTTTCTCTGGAGAGTGGAAAATAGAAGATCTCTGGACTATAGAACATGAAGTACAATTGAAGGTGTGGTTACCATGTTGAAAATGAGATTATTATATGACCAAATTCTGCTAGAGGTCAAACACAGCAATAGCCAGCTTTCTGCCCCACTGGTCTAGCAGAATATCAGTAACCAGACACTTACCCTCCAGGAAGAATATTAAAAGATGCTACTCTGGGGAATCTGACCAACTCAAAATGAGAGACTTATAAATACTAATATCAGAGATTCCCCAACTAATGGCTCACCCAGATACCCTAAGTAGAGATCAAAGTTAACAAGTCCTACACAAGCAATCTTACCGTCCAGTCTATGTGGTAGGCAAAATTATGGGCTCTCAAAGATGCCCCCTCCTAGTCCTCAAATCTGTGAATATAATATGATAATCACTCCCATGATTGTTTCTGCTATACAGCACAGTTAATCTTAATCTAAGAAGATTATGTAGGTAAACCTTTTACCAGCTGGTGACACTAGAAAGATATGACAGGCCATTGTTGGCCTTGAAGAAGGGGTAGGGGTGGAGCATGTGCAAGGCACTAAATTTGTGGTAAACTATTAAGCAGCAATAGAAAAGTAATACAATCTCCTATTAATCATGAGCAGAAAGTAAAGAATTATCAGGGACATGAGAAAAGCCTCTAACATGAAGACAGAACACAAAACCAACAAAGAAAATAAGTTAACTTGGAGGAGAGACTATGTAGGGAGGAAAAAGTTAAAAACATTAATTTACAAAGAGACCTGATAGTATCCCATCTATGAAAGAAAGAACAAGATACTTACTCTTAAAAAGGAAGGAAAACAGACACTTGAAAAGCAAAATATGATAGGAGAAATGAAAATTTCAATAGAAGGGTTAGAAAATAAAGTTGGTAATATCTGTCAGAAGAAAAGAATAAAATGACAAAGAGATGGAAAACAGAAAACAACATTGGAGAACCAGTTCAAGAGGCCCAATATCCAGGTAAAAGCAGTTCCAGGGAGAGAAAACAAAGGATAAGAAATTATCAACAAAATACTTCAAGAAATTTCCCAGAAACCAAAGTATATTGGCTTACAGATTAAAAGGGTACAACATTGTAAATGAAAACATATCCAAATCAAGATACATCACTGTGAAATATCAGAAAACTGAGCAGAGAGAGAAGAAATTACAAACATGTACAGAGGGGGAAACATGGGTCACATGCAAATAATCAGGAATCAGAACAGCTTTGGACTTCTGAACATCAATATTAAAAGCTATGACTCTAAATTTTTAAAAATTGCCAACCTAAAATGCCTTACAGCCAAACAATCAATGAAACATGAAGATAAAAATGGGCCTCTTCAAATACGCCAGTCTCTAAGAAGGTACCTCCCATGTACCCTTTCGTAAGAGGTGAGCATTTGGCTATATGGCTAAGACACCACTTGGCATGCCCATATCACATACTGGAGTGCCTGGGTGTAAGTCCCAGCTCCCCTCCCAATTCTAGTTTCCTGCTAATGCACATCTTGGGAGGCAGCAAATGATGGCTCAAGTAGTTAGGTCCCTGCCAATCCAGTGGGAGACCAGAACTGAACTTTTAGCTCCTGGCTTTGGCCTGGCCTAGCCCCAGCTGTTGCGGGATGGCCTTTGGGAGAGTGAACCAGAGGACTGAAGTGCTTGCTTGCTTGCTTGCTCGCTCGCTCTGTGTGTGTGTGTGTGTGTGTGTGTGTTCGTGCCTGTCTTTCTCTCTACCTTTCCGTGTGTGTGTTATGTGTGTGTGTGTGATATGTGTGTGTGTGTCTGTCTCTCTACCTTTCCGAAAAATAAAAACAATTTTTAAAAAGAAGCTGGCGTTGGAGCCAGTGCTGTGGTATAGCAGGTAAAGCTGCCACCTACAGTGCCAGCATCCCATATGGGCACCAGTTAGAGTCCTGGCTGCTCCACTTCTGATCCAGCTCTCTGCTGTGGCCTGGAAAAGCAGTGGAACATAGCCCAAGTGCTTGGGCCCCTGCACCCACATGGGAGACCTGGAGGAAGCTCCTGGCTTCTGGCATTGGAACAGCATAGCTCCGGCCGTTGCGGTCATTTGTGGAGTGAACCAGCAGATGGAAATAGATAGATAGATCTCTCTCTCTCTCTCTCTCTCTCTCTGCCTCTCCTTCTCTCTCTGTGTAACTCTGACTTTCAAATAAATAAATCTTTAAAAAAAAAAAGAAGCTGGTGCTGTGGCACAGTGGGTTAAGCTGTCCCCTATGATACCAGCAACTCATACAAACACTTGTTTTGAGTCCTGGCTGCTCCACTTCCAATCCAGCTCCCTACTAATGCACCTGGGAAAGCAGTGGAAGGTGGCCCAAGTACTTGGGCCCCCACCACCCATGTGGGAAACCTGGACGGAGTTCCAGGCTCCTAGCTTTGTCCTGGCCCAGCCCTGGCAGTTGTGGCCATTTAGGGAGTGAACCTGTGGATGGAAGCTATCTCTCTCTCTTGTTCTCTGTCTCTCCCTCTCTCTGTAACTCTTTTTCTTTTTAAAGATTTATCTTATTTTATTTATATGAAAGACAGAGTTACAGAGAGGGGGAGAGACAGAGAGAGAGGTCTTCCATCCGCTGGTTCACTCCCCAGATGGCCGCAACAGCTGGAGCTGCACCAATCAGAAGCCAGAAGCCAGGAGCTTATTCGGGGTCTCCCATGCGGGTGCAGGGGCCCAAGCATTTGGGCCATATTCCACTGCTTTCCCAGGCCACAGCAGAGAGCTGCATCAGAAGAGGAGCAGTCGGGCCTCGAACCAGCGCCCATATGGGATGCTGGCGCTTCAAGCCAGGGCTTTAACTTGCTGAGACACAGTGCCAGCCCCTGTAACTCTTAATATATATATATTAAAAAAAACTAATAGAGGAAGTATGACATTAAAACAACACGACAAGACATGAAAGAGAAATATAGGAAGTTCAGGAAAAACAAAGTCCAGTACAGGACTGAAACAAAGAAAATTCAAGGAAGATAGTAAAGGGAAATACCACAATGACAGTTGTGTACCAAATGTCCAAGGTAATCATTCCAGATTAGAACAGTGACTAGTAAAAAAAAAATAAAAAAAAAATAAAAGAAGAACAGTGACTAGTAAAACAAACTGGTTAAGGGCTACTATCTTCAAGATACTCATTATCATTGTCTCATCCTTCTTTTTAACCAGAGGCCAGAGTGCCCAGGTGGGCCTGGCTCAGACCGTCTGTCCTGGGCTGGTATTGACCATGAGCTGCTGCAGCTCCCACAGGCCCCTCCTGCAAGTGCTGCCGCTGCCTGGAGCAGGTGTGCACTGGCCTCTCACCCCCACTAGTTACCTACTGGAATTTACTACTAAGAGTGAGAGGTCATGGGGAGATTAGAAGTGGAAATGTCAGAGGGACCCACTCCCCCATCAAAGCAATGGTGACCGGACAAGAAATTTCTGACCCACTGCCCATACTGTGCTGCGTTAGGGTTTATTTTTCTGGACTCACTCATGACCTGACTGTCTTGACTTCCCCAGAAGTGGATCCTGTAAACTCTTAGGGAAGCTCAGCCAGATGATGACCAACAGACTCTTTTCAACTTAATCCTCTCCTAGGACTCTTCACCTAATTGGACCAATACCACTAATATAGGCAAGGAAGTAAGAGTAGCAAGGAAAAGCTGAAGTTTTCCAACCCTGCAGCCCTGCCTGCTACAGCCCAGGCCACTATAGCTCTACCTGCCCTTCAGCCAAATTCTCCCCTTCTATATACCATCCCGAAACTCTACTCCATGTACCACCCAAACCCACATTTCTAAGCATTGCCCAAACCCCCATTTCTGTGCACTGTTAAACCTCCTCCCTTCTATAAAGCAGAAAATCATAACTTCTATGGTTTTGGCAATTAGAACTGGCATCCACTAAAATTATCCAATATGGCTGCATGCTGCATCCCTGTAACCATGAGTTCATTATAATATAATTATAATAAAGTTACTATGACTAACACTCCCAATCCCATCACACACATTATGCCATGACACTTCTAGGATTTCTAAAACAGGGCAAGAATATGTGTGATATGTATGGTACTCCAGCCCTGCCCTAAACTCCACCCCCATACCTCCAGATCATATGAAGGGACAGCCCAGAACCTTGTTAAGTGCAGTCCTTTCTTGAGCTTGCCTGCACTCATTTCTGAGTGTATATTTTCACATGGCAGGGAAATAAATAAGCTTCTCTGGTGACCTTGATCTACATCTTGTCCTTGAATTTCTTCTTGCAACAGAGAAAAGCTGGACCCCCAACACCTTACGACACTATTCTTTCAGTAACTAGCTAGGTGTTTGCTTGCCATTTAAGTTTTCAAAACAGAGCAATATATTATTCAGGTAAACTATAATGAAACAGCAAAGAATGAGTAACACAAAAGTCAAGGTAGATATTACCTACAGTGATAAAGGAGAGGGATATAACTGAGAGGGGCACTCAGGAGGCTTCCAAGGCATTGATAATATTCTCTTTCTTAACAAAGGTAGTATCTTATTATTAAAATTCATACTGTGGTGAGAAAATTTAATATACTCTGCTGTAGAGATACATTTCACAATAACAATGATTTTAAGGAATCATAAATGGAGAAAAAGAGAAAAGAAAGCAATGAGAAGGAGAAAAGATTGAAGGCTGATACCATAAGGAATAGGGGGATGGGGCAGCAGGGTTTACTTACCATTTCGTATGCTACTTCCTCTGGTGTATCTGTTTCTAAATTGAAACTAAATTCAATAGCTTCATTGTCTTTGTGTTTGCCTTTCAATTTTTTGGGGTCTTCAACCCAGAGTCTTAAAGCCAGGGATGAATTTGAACAATCATCTTCCTCTGCTAACTCCACCCTCAGTCCTGTATCCTCAGCAAAAAATGCGTGGTTTAGTAGGTCCCTGATAGACAACCTAACAAACAAAATGTATATCTTGTTATCAATTCTTCCAATAAGATGCAGATCCTTTAATTAGAAAAAATTAAGTATATCACATCAACCTTATTTTAAATTTTTCTATTAATTAAATCATTAATCTAGCTTGTTATAAAAACCAAATTTCATATCCAACTTATTACCAGAGACACAAAGAAAACCCAAATAACATGCACACATAGTGATCTTAATTAAAGATAAATTATTGGTTGGGCAATTGGAACAGTGTTTAAGACTCCACTTGGGACACATATAGCCCATACTGAAATGCCTAGGTTTAAAGCCCAGCTCTGCCTTCAATTCCAGCTTCCTGCTGATATGCCCCTGAAAGGCAGCAGAGGGCACACATGCCACCCACAGCCTAGCCCACCCCCGATTGTGGGCATTTAAGGAATGATACAGTAGATGGAAGATTTCTTGATATCTCTCTCTCTCCCTTCCTCTCTCTGCCCTTCAAATAACATAAAAATGAATTTTAAAAATTTAAAGACTATTACCATTAACACATCTATATATAAAAGTATGCCTAGAAAGAATTGTAGAAGTACTGTGGTACATGTTAGGTGAATAAATTAGCTTCTCTACGCCACTGGCTTAAATAGTTAAGGGTGAGCTAATAGATTCCAAGCAAAGGAAACAAAAAACTCTCCTAGGTATCTAACTCCAAAGTAAATTAGAAATTCAAACTTTTAGATGAAGGTTATAAATAGAAATTACTGACTCCATTAACAATGGAATAGTCTGTGTACTTCATTTGCCCCTTAGAGAATGCATGGGTGAAGCTAAATGTGGGTCAGCAACATCCAGTGGTTTGCTTCAAATACTGAACTCTAGTTTTAGGTCACAGTGTGTGTACACAGATATAACCATAGCATAGTATCAGGGATTAACCATCTTTGAAGAAAAATAAAGGATAGGGCTTAAAAGATTCTTTTATGGGGCCAGGGCTGTGGTGTAGAACTTTAAGCCTACGCCTGTAGTGTTGGCATCCTGTATGGGTGCTGCTTCAAATCCTGGCTGCTCCACTTCTGATCCAGCTCCCTGCTGATATGCCTGGGAAAGCAGTGGAAGATGGCCCAAGTACTTGGGCCCCCACACCTGTGTGGGAGACCTGGAAGAAGCTCCTGGCTCCTGGCTCCTGGCTTCAGCCTGGCCCAGCCTCAGCTGTTACAGCCATTTGTGGAGTGAACCAGGAGATGAAGATCTCTCTCTGTCTCTTTCTCTCCTTCTCTATCTCTGGCTTTCAAATAAATAAATAAATCTTTTTGAAAAAGGAGATTCTATTATAAACTAAGGCGATTTTATTGTTCTTTTACTAACTTTTAAAACAGGTACATAATATTTAATCTGTATTACAGGCCAGGGAGAGCTAACACTGATGTGAAGGTACTTCAAAAATTACTTCAAAATGCATAATCTTTTCATTACATTTTCTGTGAACTTTTTGAAGTGTCACTGTATACTTCATAATGTCCACTTGTACAGCCTTTCCTGAACTACTTAAAATAGAAAAAGCATACAACAACATAATTTTCTGTAAGTTGAGGATTTTCCACACTCTACATTTTTAGTAATCAAGAGACAGATACTTAACAACCTTAGAAAAATAACCTTGTTCAAGCTATTTTCAGGACTAAAGTGAGACATTTTGAAATAGTCCTCTGCTTCCTTATAAAAAATTTGTCTAACCATTTTTACTGAACAATAATTACAAACAATAGCAGAAGACATAATTTATTACTCTGTTAGGTATATTTTTTATTCATTTGGTCATCAAAATTATATCTATTTTGAGGAACAACTAAGTAAATTGCTCAAGATCACACTGGTTAAATATGAGTTCAGATTTGAATCTTAGTCCAATGTTGAAGCCTGTGCTTTTTCCCGTACACTAATACGTCATAAATCCTTATGAAGATTCTAATGTTCTTGGATAACATATCATAATTAAAATGCTGTACAAACAACAACCAGAATCCAAACTGAAACAGCTACTTCAACATAACATTTTTTAGCTTATTTTGAAAAATGATGCCTAAACTCCTATAACTCAACAACAAAACTCAATTAAAATGAGCAAAGGACCTGCCTAGATACTTCTCCAAAGATATACAAATGATCACTAAACACATGAAAAAGTACTCTACATCATTAGTTAACAGGGAAATGCAAAATAAAACCATGAGGAAATACTACTTCACACCCATTAGGATGGCTATTATCAGAAAACGGAAACAAGTGTTTGTGAGGATGTTGAGTAATTAAAACTTCCCTACATTGCTGCTGGGAATGCAAAATGGTACAACTGCCATGGAAAATAACTGGCGGTTCTTCAAAAAGTCAAATAGGATTATCGTAAGATGTAGCAATTTCATTCCTAGGGCATACAAACATATATACATACACACGCACACACACATACAAGAATTGAAAGCAGGGACTCAAACACTTGTACATCAACATTTATGCAACACTATTCACAACACTGAAAAGACAGAAATAACCCAACAATCCATCTACAAATGGATACAAAATTTTGGCATGTATACATACAGTAGAATATTATTCAACCTCAAAATGGAAGGAAATTCTGATACATGCTATAACATGCATCAACCTAGAAAATGCTATGTGAAATAAAATAAATCAGACACAAAAGAACTAACATTGTTTGATTTCACTTATATTAGGAACTCAGGACAGGCAAATTCATAAAGATAGAAAATAGAACAGAGATCATCAGTGGCTGCAGGGGAAAAGAAATGGGGAGTTATTGCTTAATGTGTACAGGATTTCTGTTTGGGATAATGAAAAGTCCTGGAGGTGGGTAGTACAGATGATTATACAACAATGTGAAAGTAATTAATGCTACTGGATTATACACTTAAAAATGACTAAAATGGTGTGGGCATAGTGGCACAGCAGATTTAGCCACTGTGTGGGATACCCACATCCCATAGCAGAGTACCTGGGATTAAGTTCCACTTCTGCTTCAGATCCAGTGTCCAGCTAATGCATCTCAGTACTAGGGTTCCTGCTCTCCATGTGAGAGTCCTGGATAGAGTTCCTGGCTCCTGGCTTCAGCCTGACCCAGCCCCAGTTGTTACAGGCAATTGGGGAGTGAACGAGCAAACAGAAGACCTCTATGTGTTTCCCTCTCTCTGTTATTCTGCCTTTAAAATAACTAAATCTTTTTTAATAGCTAAAAATGGAAAATTTTATATGCATTTAATTATTTTTTAAAAGATTATTTATTTATTTGAAAGGCAAAGTTACAGAGAGAGAGGGGGAGAGAGAAAGAGAAATCTTCCATCAGCTGGTTCACTCCCCAAATGGCTGCAACGGCTGAGGCTGTGCCAGGCTGAAGCCAGGAGCCTGGAGCTTCTTCCAGGTTACCCACATAGGTGGCAGGGGCCCAAGGACTTGGGCCATCTTCTGCCGCTTTCCCAGGCACATTAGCAAGGAATTGGATCAGAAGTGGAGCAGCCAGTTCTCGAACTGGCACCCACATGGGATGCCAGTATCACAGGCATCAGCTTAACCACTATGCTGTAATGCCAGCCCCATCTTATGTGTATTTAACCACAACTGAAACAGAGATGCCTAGAGACAGCCTGTTTGTACAAACACTAAGAATGTTCTGTAATAAAAATATAATTAAACAGGCCTTACCTTAGTAGATTTAAATATTCTCAGATGTGCAACTAAACCTAGATAGAAAACTAATAAAAATGGGGAGGGTCAATGAAATGCTGGTGGAAATAATTTCTATAAAGGATATATCCCTTCATTAATCATCAATAAGAAGGTAAAAATCAAAAGATGACCCCACTAATTTAATCTATCAGTTTTCCAAGGCTCAAATTAAAATGAATCAAAAGCTAAAACTAAAAAGAATTGTCCACAAGAAAAACACAAATTGTGACACTAATAAATCTAGAATACTTGAACAAAAGTATCCATATTAGCTTTACCATTGTCATAATATAAGGATGCATGATTAAATAAAAATATCTGTCTACTCTCAACTATTAGAAGTAGTGAAGGCCCGTTGAGCTGATGTCTAAAGGTGATGAAAGCTTGTCACAATGCATATACACATAAATATGACCCAAATGCCAGTTCAAAAAATATTCAGCACATGATATCAAAGTCTAAAAAGATAAACAACACACACTAATACATTTCACTCTACACAGTATGGTTTGGCTTCAACTCAAAAGTCAAATTTAACATGATTAAAAGGTGAGAAAATGACTACGTGCAAGAGAAGAGAAAAATACATCCATTAGTTATATCATTTCACCACATTTGCACCCACCTTTCAGATTTGTTTTGACGAATACATCCTTCAATGATTTCTTTTACTTCAGGATCAGTGACTTTATTAAAGCTGGCTGGTTTTATGCCCTGGGAAAAGGAAAATGGTTTCTAATTACAAATTAAGCAATTGGAAGTCCAAGTCAACATGACATTTGTTAAACACTATTTTTATTACTAAATCATATTTAAGTTTTAAATAAGATAAACATGTATTTATACATTTAAATAACTTCTGACAAGGATTTTGTCATAGTTCTACAAATAAACAGTGAAAAATCAGAAATAATCTAAATTTCCTCTAACACAGGCAAAGTTACACACATTTTAAAAACATGAAGGGGCTTCAAAAAGTTCATGGAAGAGGTAGGTGTTAGTGGTTAAGATGCTCCTTGGGGAGTCCATAGCCCAGCTTCTTACTAATGTGCCCCCTCAGAGGTAGCAGGTAATAGCACACGTATTTGGATACCTGCCACTACATGAGAGACCTAGACTGAGTTCTCAGGTCCTGGCTTTGGTCCAGCCCAGCCCTAGCTGTTGCAGGCATTTGGGGAGTAAACAAGAGGATGGGAGCTCTCTGTCCCTCTGCCTCTCAAATAAATAATTAACTTGTTAAAGTTCATGGCAAAATAGAATATAAAAATAATACAAATTTTCCATAAACTTTTTAAGCTCCCTCATGTATTTATGTCTATGTGTGTGTACAGATATATATATATATATATATATATATTTTTTTTTTATTTTTGACAGGCAGATTGGACAGAGAGAGAGAGAGAGAGACAGAGAGAAAGGTCTTCCTTTACCATTGGTTCACCCTCCAATGGCCGCTGCAGCCGGCGCACCGTGCTGATCCGAAGCCAGGAGCCAGGTGCTTCTCCTGGTCTCCCATACGGGTGCAGGGCCCAAGCACTTGGGCCATCCTCCGCTGCACTCCCGGGCCACAGCAGAGAGCTGGCCTGGAAGAGGGGCAACCGGGACAGAATCCGGCGCCCCGACCGGGACTAGAACTCGGTGTGCCGGTGCCACAAGGCGGAGGATTAGCCTAGTGAGCTGCGGCGCCGGTCCAGATATATATTTCATAATATCATATAGAAACTAAAAATATTCTCAAAATAATAACACAGAAAATTCTTATAATATTAAATAGGGAAATAATGTAGGATCCTTAATTATATACACAACATAATCCCAATTTGCAAAATAGAATAAACAAGTATTTTTAGGAATAAAAAAATGAAGGTTATTAAAAACACCTTTTGAAAATGCTAAGGGCTTCCCTATTTCAAGTATTCCAAATCAATGTATTTCAAAGCTTTTTAGAATAACTAGAAGCAATCAATAATTAGTATACATGCATTGTGAAAATATAAACACATACATGAAAAAATTTGAGAAATCTATTCATTTTTACCCTGAAGAAATACTAAGATATTGAGAGAACTTACCTTAAGCTTATTATCAGGCTCCAGGAATTCAATAACAAATGATATCCAGACAATTCAAAACATTCCTATTATAACTGTTTTAGCTGCCTGAATCTGCTTATTTGATATTCTATTACCTTATATTTGAGCTTTAAATTTTACAAAAATAATGTAAGATCACTGAAATCATTTGACAAAAAATTCCAAATGTGGATAGAAGCAGAAATATAATTATCGAAGATCTACTGCTAGTCCTGTCAAATTACCTCACAAGATACAGAATCAGGAAGCTCAGTACCATATACTAGATGAGTCTGGTGACACTAAAGAGTTAATTTGGACCCCAAATTCAAGCAGCATAAAAATAGATGGCAGTCTGAATTGTGATACAGTGTTTTTTGGTGACTTTAATATAATAAAGTCACTATTTAAAAGCTGTAGTTATTATATTTAAAAAAAACCTCCTAGATCTTTTCCACTTTCTCTTACCCATTTCCCAGCCCTGGTAAATATTGCCTTTCTCTGCTACTAAGTGAAAATAGTTGGGGAGCTATAACTTACAAAGCCAAATACAAAATGCATATTTATTTATGGTCCTCCAAAATACGGGCCAGGGATAGGCATTTGGCACAGTGTTTGAAATGATGTTTGGGGAACAAGCAGCTGCTTGGAATGCCCACATGCCATACTGGAATTCCCACTGGCTACTCCACACTTATGATCCAGCTTCCTGCTGATGTATCTGGGAGGCAACAGATGATAGCCCAAGGACCTGGGTTCCTGCCACCCAAATGGGAGACCCAGATGGAGCTCCTGGCTCCTGGCTTTGACCTGGCCTAGCCCTGGGTGTTGTGGGCATTTGGGGAATAAAATAGCTGATGAAAAAGATCTCTCTCTCTCCCTCTGTACCTCCCTCTCCCTGTCTCTATGACTTTCAAATACATAAATAAGTCTTTTTTAAAAAGTAAGAAAAATATGACAATAGGGATGCCTGCATCCCATATCTGAGTACCTGGGTTTGAGTTCCAGCTCTGTTCCTGATTCCTGCTTTCTGTTAATGAAACCCCTGAGAGATCAGTGGGTGATAGCCTAAGTACTTGGGTCCCTGCCATTCATGGGTGAGGATAGAAATGAGGTCCAGATTCCTAGCTTTGTCTTGGCCCTGCCCCAGCTATTGCAGGCATTTGGGGAATGAACCAGCAGATGGAAGGAAGATCTCTGTTTTTTAAGTAGCGAAAAACTAATACACAAAAATTTAAAGCATGTGGATAACTAAGTAAAAAGAAAGATGGACCAAAAAAATTAAGCTCTATTTTTCTGAATTCTTATAGGAATTTTCAAGCTTAAAAGTAGAATACTATGAGTATAATGAAGTCCTGTATAAGTATCATCAGCTTCAACGAAAGCCAACATTTTGCCAACCTTGTTTTAGCTGTCTGTCCCAATACCTTTCATGTCCTGGAATATTTCAAAGCAAATCTCAGGCACTATATCATTTCATCCATAAAATTTTCAGTTTATATTTCTAATATATAAGGTCCTTTAAAAAGGCATGTCATATCTCCTTTAAAACAATCATCAATAATTCCTTAATATCATCTAAAACTCGGTCCATGCTCAAATCTTCAAAATTATCTAAACTTTTTATAGCTGATTTGCTCAAATCAGGATCCGAACAAATATGCATGGTACACTAAGCTGGCTTATACCAGCACATGAGAGTTATCACATTTTCAGGTATTTTACAAGCAAGCTGTTACAGTCATTTTTTTAAAAAAGCTAAATTATATAAACTTATAATTATAAGCATTATATTAAAAGCCATATAAAATAATTATTGAAAACATCACTCCTTTAACTAGCTTACATTTTACCATTATATACACTTTTGAGGTTGTAAGTATTTTATCTGTATGGTGGAAATACCACATAGTAAGTGCCACTGTACTTACTTCCCAGTACTGCTTTCAGTAGATCACGTTGGTAACCTGAAATCAGCCTTGAGAGGAACACTGACATCACAAAAAAGAAGCAAATACTAGAAATCAGAGCTTTTTGGCTTTCCAGAGAATCAGTTGTTGAACAGTTATTAGTGGGGCTGGCATTGTGGCATGGCAGGTTAAGCTGCTGCCTGTGATGCCAGCATCCCATATGGGTGCTAGTTCAAGTCCCAGTTGCTCCACTTCTGATTCAGCTCTCTGCTAGGGCCTGGAAAAGCAGCAGAGGATGGCAAAGGGCTTGAGTCCCTGCCACCTACATGGGAGATGCAGAAGAAGCTCCTGGCTCCTGGCTTCAGCCTGGCCCAACCCTAGCCATTGTGGCCATTTGGGGAGTGAACAAGTAGATGGAAGACTTCTCTGTCTCTTCCTCTCTCTGCCTTTCAAATAAATAAATAAATATGAAACAAAAAAAGTTACTAGTTCACCACTACCGATAAATCTCTTGTATTCTATAAGACCTCCTTCCCTTTTTCTTGGAACTGATTTGTAGGAGAAAAGAGGTCATTTGTTCTATAGAGTATACCATATTCTGGATTTTGGCCTTATTTCTTACCATTTTCTTAAACCTGTAGAGTCAGAGAGATTTCATGGTCAAAACTGACCATTATCAATAGTTGTGGAAAATTGGGCTAGTCACAACCTCTGATTCTCAGACTCATCAGCTGGAAACTGAAGACTGAACCTTTCTTGTAGGGATATAAAGATTAAACCATGTGGTATACAGCATGCATTAAGGAACTATACCCACACTGTACCCACTGTTAGAAGGACTACAATAAAAAAGATGAAAGATAAGAAGCATTGGCAAGTGTGTGTGTGGCAAAGGCAACCCTTGTATTTTGTTGGTGGGGATATAAATTAGTACCGACATTGTGAAAAAGGTATGGAATTTCCTTAAAATAAATAAAAACTGAACTACAACTGCAATCCCACTTCTGGGTATATATCCAAAGGAACTGTAATCAATATGTCAAACATAGCATATTAATAGTCAAGATATGCAAAGACCCTGAAGTGCATCAATGGATGAATAAAGGAAATGAAGTTATATATACATGATGGGATTTAACATTAAAAAAAAGTCTGTCATTTGCAACACTAGGAATGAACCCAGAAGATATTATGCTAAGTGAAATAAGTCAGGCACAGAAAGACTGATATTGCATGATCTCACTTATGTGAGAAATATAAAAAGTCACATAGAAAGTAAAGAATAGATTGCTGTTTACCAGAGGCTGAGGACAAAGGAAAGAATTGAGAAGTTGTTGGTCAAAGGTACAAAGTTACAGTTAGAAGAAATAAGTTTTGAGATCTACTGCACAGCAGGATGACTATAGTGAATAATAATAATGTATCAGGTACTGCGAAATAACTTAGAAAGTAAATTTCAAAATGTCTCAACACAAAAAATGAAAAGCAAGATAATGGATATGGTAACTAGCTTGATTCAATCACTACACATTGTATGCATGCATCAAAACATCACATTATACACCATGAATGTATGCAATTATTATTCATCCATTAAAATTATGTTAAAAACAGGATTTTTAAAAATACTACCTGCTAGTATTCATTTCCTACAATACTCCAATAATTTCTTTCATGCCTATCTGCAGCCACCCAACAGGGTATTAAGTAGTCCTCCTTTGAAAAAATCATAATATTTTGTTTGTACCTTTCTTATGTTCCTTACTCTCATCTTCATATCCTATAGTTACCTAGGAATATATATATTATTACCCTACTGGAAATTTAAACTTTTTGAGGGTAGCAAACACTTCTTACTCTTCACTTCATTCCTTGCTATTTATTTTTTTAAAAGATTTATTTATTGTACTTGAAAGTCAGAGTTACACAGAGAGAGGAGAGGAAGAGAGACAGACAGAGAGAGAAAGAGAGAGGGAGAGAGAGAGAGGTCTTCCATCCGATGGTTCACTCCCCAATTGGCCACAACGGCCAGAGCTGTGTCGATCCGAAGCCAGGAGCCAGGAGCCTCCTCCGGGTCTCCCATGTGGGTGCAGGGACCCAAGGACTTGGGCCATCTTCTACTGCTTTTCCAAGCCACAGCAGAGAGCTGGACAGGAAGTGGAGCAGCCAGGTCTCAAACTGGTGCCCATATGGGATGCCGGTGCTTCAGGCCAAGGCGTTAACCCGCTGCACCACAGTGCTGGCCCCCATTCCTTGCTATTTCTTACACAAAATATTACTCACAGCAGGGACTCAAATACTGTCAAACTTATTTTGAATGTAGCTTCACAATCAGGTTTTTAGAACTAGAAGAAACCTTCAAAATCATTTAGACAATCTCTATTATTCAACTTCAAAAGGTAAGATCCAGGGGCAGGTATTTGGCATAGAAGAGGACACCCACATCCCCTATCAGAATGCCTGGGTTCAAGTCTTGGCTTGGGTTCTCAATTCTAACTACAGCTTGCAGCTAGTATGCATCCTGGGAGGCAAGAGGTGATGGCTCCCTGTCATCCACACAAGAGATGTATATTGAGTTCGATTCCTGGCTTTGGTCTAGCCCAGTCCTGCCTGTTGAAGGCATTTGGAGAGTAAACTCATGAATAGGAAATCAATATTCCTCTATCTCTACCTCTTTTACTTGCTCTGCCTTTCAAATAAATAAGAGAAATAGTAAAACTTTAAAAATTAAAAATATCTAATACCAAAACTTCTTCACAAATAGATATGATATAACATTTGTACATTTTCGTAAAAATAGTAATGCAGTGCATTTTATATGGCCCCAAGACAGTGTAAGGTATATTACAACTCTAAAATTTGTTTCATTACAATTGTTAAATTTAACACTATTCCACGAGATTAAACCAAAATTAGGTTTCACTAAGCTTTACTCAATTCAACATGAAATACGGCAATCTGTGAAGTAAAAAGTGTAAAATGATACCTACACTAGTCACTTTACGGTAAATCTGAGCTGCATTCTGGCACTCAGAATAAGGGTACTCTGAAGTAGCCATTTCTAGCATACACATTCCAAAAGCATAGACATCCACGGATTCATCATAGTGTTCTTCATACATCTCTGGAGCCATAAACTCAGGCGTCCCTACAAAATAACACCACAGCCACATTTTTTATTAAAGAGAAAAATGTATTCACAAAGACCACATTTCTCTTTCTCCTGAAGATTACCTGTGGGAATTTCTACTATCCACAACTAAATTTATAAGTATAAAATTTGTTGAATACTTGCTATTATCTACATAAAGCACTAAAAGACTTTCCGTAAGTTTCTCCTAATCAAATACAATTTGTAATACTTGAGACTGCATTGATTAACAAAATCTCTGTATCGCCATCCTTCTTTTCATTCAATTTTTTCTGAATTAACGTAGTAAATTTTCTTAAGTCTTCAGGACCTTTCAATAATCCTAAACATATCCAACAAAAGAAATATACCAGAATGTCTCTGAAATAAGTTAATATACTTATATAGTACATATCTCAAAACAAAATTCAGTCTGAGCCAGGAGTTGGCTAACTTTTCTGTAAAGGGTCTGAGGTTCATATGGTCTTGGGTACACAACTACTCAACTCTGTCACTGTAGTGAAAAACAGCCAGAGACAATTCAAAAATGAGTGGATATAGTGGTGGTTCCAATAAAATTTGATTTATAAAAACAGGCAGTTGGCCAGATTTTGCCCATGGACTATATAGTTAACTGATCTTTGTTCTAGACCTACATAATTGACAAATCTCTCTACACCCAACCAGTACACTGTAAAACGTCAATCACCAATGACACTCTTAGCAAATGATGTGCGCATTAAGGTGGCTAGTCCTAGATCACCAATCTTCACAGATCCAGTGGGTCCTGTGATGAAAATATTGTCACACTTCAGATCCCGGTGAATAATAGGAGGAGTCCTAGTATGTAAGAACTGCAATCCCTTTAAAATTTGCCTGCACCAGCTCCTTAAAACCTTTGGTTTCATTACTTTAAATCGTTTTAAGTACCTACAAAGAAAAGAAAAAGACCATGTGTAAATAACTTATTGTATGAACACTATCCAAGTACATCACATGAGAGCTGATAATTTATACTCTATGATCACTATCCCCAAGTTGTTTACTCTTGACTTTCAGGACAAAAAGATTTCATATCTGAGATTTCATTCTTAGATAAGACAGCTTACTAATTGTCATATTTTGAATTCAAAACAAGAATTATTCCAGGGTCCAGCACTGTGGCATAGAGGGCTAATCCACTGCCTGGAGCGCCAGCAACCCATATGAGTATCAGTTCAAGTCCCAGCTGCTCTTCTTCCAATCTAGCTCTCTGCTATGGCCTGGGAAAACAGTGAAAGATGGTCCAAGTGCTGCAACCATGTGGGAAACCTGGAAGAAGCATCTGGTTCCTGGCATTAGATCAGCCCAGTTCTGGCTGTTGCAGCTGTTTGGGGAAGGAACCAGCGGATGGAGGATCTTGCTGTCTGTCTCTCCCTCTCTCTGTAACTCTACCTCCCCAATAAAAAAATAAAAATCTTAAAAAAAGAATTATTCCAGAGTGGCCTTTTGTGGAATGGCAGGCAATACAGTTTTAAGAAGAAAACACTTTTCTATTTCTAGTAATTGCTTAGAAGGTTTAACTATGTAAAATTTTAGAACAAAAATGCTAGGAAATATTAAAGCAAAAGAGTATTTCAAAAAGTACATGGAAAATGCAAATTAAAAGATAAGTTTTATTTTAGTTCAAAAATATTTTAAAATTTATGCAGTCTTTAAATTTTTTTTATTTCATGTATAGTTTTTAAAATTTTTTCTTATTTACAAAAATAGAATAAATTTCATTTATTTCCTACATACAGGGGTTTTTTGAGAGGCAGAATCATAGAGAGAGGGAGAGACAGAGAGAAGTCTCTTCTATCCACTAAAAATTCACTCCCCAAATGGCCACAACAGCCAGAGCTGAGCTGATCCAAAGCCAGGAGCCAAGAGCTTCTTCTGGTTCTCCCACGTGGGTGCAGGGGCACTAGGGCCATCTTCCACTGCTTTCCCAGGCCATAGCAGAGAGCTGGGTCATGAGAGGAATAGCCTTGACATGAACCAGCGCCCATATGGGATGCTGGTGCCACAGGCAGAAGCTTAACCTACTATGCCACAGTGCCGGCCCCCATACATACAGTTTAAAAAAAAAAAAGATTTATTTATTTATTTGAAAGGCAGAGTTACAGAGAGGCAGAGGCAGATAGAGAGAGGTCTTCCATTCATTAGTTCACTTCCCAGATGGCCACAATGGCTGGAGTTGCGCTGATCTGAAGCCTTCTTCCGAGTCTTCCGTGTCTCCCAGATGGGTGCAGGGACCCGAGGACTTGGACCATCTTCTACTGCTTTCCCAGGCCATAGCAGAGAGCTGGATTGGAAGTGGAGCAGCCAGGACTCGAACCAGCACCATATGGGATGCCAGTGCCACAGGCGGAAGCTTAGCCTTCTAAGCCATGGCGCCGGCCCCCGTGTTTTAAGAGCGTAAATACAGTTTTAAGAGCATAATGATACTTTCCACCCTACCTCCCTCATTCTTACCTTCCCTCCTTTTCTTACTTTTGTTTTAAAATTACAGGGACTGGCATTGTGGCTCAGCAGATTAAGCCACTGCCTACAACAGCAGCATCCCATATGGGTGACGAGTTTGAGTCCCAGCTGCTCCACTTCTGATCCAGTTCCCTGTGATTGTGCCTGGGAAAGCAGCACAAGATGGTTCCAATGCTTGAGCCCCTGCCACACACGTGGGAGACCCAGATTGAATTCCAGGCTTCATGCTTCAGCCTGGGCCAGCTCTGGCCACTGCAGCCATTTGGAGAGTGAACCAGCAGATAGAAGATTTCTGTCTTTCAACCTCTCTTTCTACATCCTGCTTTTCAAATGAAATAAACAGGGGCCAGTGTTGTGGCACCGCGGGTCAACGTCCTGGACTGAAGCACCGGCATCCCATATGGGTGCCAGTTCTCTGCTATGGCCTCGGTCCTATCCAGCTCTCTGCTGTGGCCTTGGAAAGCAGTAGAAGATGGTCCAAGTCCTTGGGCCCCTGGACCTGTGTGGGAAACCTGGAAGAAGCTCCTGGCTTCAGATCGGCGCAGCTCCAGCCGTTGCGGCCAATTGGGGAGTGAAACAGCGGATGGAAGACCTCCCTCCCTCCCGCCCCGCCACTGCCTCTCCTCTCTCTGTGTAACTCTTTCAAATAAATAAATAAATCTTTAAAACAATAAACAAATCTTTTAAAAATGAATTATATTCTTTTCTTAATAATTGCCAGTTGCTAACACAGTCATTAGATTTAAATCTTACCAGTTCTAACAAAGCAGTATTAATCTGTAAAGAACTTCCATTACTCCTGAAAAGTAGTTTCAAATAAAACCCCATTGGCACTATCATGGCAAACTTACGTCTTTAAGGTTCCTGAAGTCATTAGTTCAGTCACTAATACAATACACTTCTTTCCTTTTAATGTAGACTCCCAGGAATCATAAAATCGAACTATATTGGGATGCTGGAGACCTTTCAACATCTCTGCTTCTTCCTTGAACCGCTGCTGCTCAGCTTTGGTTAACTTCCGGTCCTGAAATGGAAGAAGTTCCAAAATACTGTCATAGAAATTCTCATGCATTTTTCTAAAACTATTCAAATGAGTACTTTATTGTATTATGTATGCATGCATATATTTATCTATTTTCATCTATCAATTCAGTTCTGAGTATCTATAAAATCACTGATATCCTTTCTAAGATAGTTACATTGATTCTATCCACACAACAATGCTACAGTGGTTAACATTTAATTTCTATATTATAAATCTACCTAATGATAAATCAATACCCTGAAAAGCAAGTATTTCAAAATGAGTTGACAAAAAAGAATAAAACAGGTAATAGCACATTTTCCCAAAGAAATTCCTGAATTTCCACATCTAAAAAATCTACAAAGCTGGGGCAGGAATGATCCAAATGTTAAGACACCTAGAAAATTATTGTGGTTAAATTTCTGAATTGTCAAAATAAGAATGTTCTAGGTTTCCAGCAGAAATATCAGGTTACCAACCAGTGAAAGACCTTCAAACAGACCTTAGATCTCTAATCCACCACGTTAAATGCTCAAACTCAAAAGAATAATGTTTATCAAATTCTGAGGGAAGATTGTGACCCTAAAATCTGAACTCAGACAAGCTATCCTTCCAATTTAAAAGAAAAAATTCCTACATTTCTGGAAAACAGATAGTACTCATATACCATTCAGTACATTGAAAATATTACTCAAAGAACTTCAATAAAAATGTGGCCAAATAAAAGAATTAGAAAAGGAAGGTGTAACATATAATAAATAGTAACAAATTTCTAATAAATTTTAGAGTTAAGCCTAAGTCATCATAGCTGATGTAATTGGTAAAAATGAATGAGTTTTCTACATATTAATTAAAATAGAAGACATATAATACAAAAAGAACAGCCTGGAATTAAAATCCCAGGCTACATCACTAAAATCTAATTAGTAAAGAAAGAAGAATAAAAAACTATTGTTGCCTTGTACATGGTAAAACAAGACTGATAGAACTATTTAAATTTTTATAGCAAGAATACAGAATCAACCTAGATGTGTATCAACTGATGAATGGATAAAGAAAATGTGGCATATAAACACTATGGGATATTATTCAGCTATAAAAAGAATGAAATCTTGATATCTGCAACAAAATGGACGTAAATGAAGATCATTACACTAACTGAAATAAGCCAGACCTAGAAAGAAAAATACCACATTTTCTTTTATCTATGGAAATTAATATAAAGAAAGTATAAAAACTGTGTGGATGTCATGTCATTTGGTATATATTTATAAATACTGCTTCACTGAATTTTGCAATGCACATGACAATAAACCATTCTTTCCCTACTTTATGATCACTGTCATGAACCCCATATTTTGTGGCATTAATATCCCTGTTTTCAAGAAAATAGCATATGTGTATATATAATATATACATATGAAGTAAGTTTAGCAAAATGTTAATAATTGCTAGGCCAGCACCGCGGCTCACTAGGCTAATCCTCCGCCTGCAACGCCAGCACACCGGGTTCTAGTTCCGGTCGGGGCGCCGGATTCTGTCCCGGTTGCCCCTCTTCCAGGCCAGCTCTCTGCTGTGGCCCGGGAGTGCAGCGGAGGATGGCCCAAGTCCTTGAGCCCTGCACCCGCATGGCAGACCAGGAGAAGCACCTGGCTCCTGGCTTCGGATCAGCGCAATGCGCCAGCCGCAGCGGCCATTGGGGGGTGAAGCATCGGCAAAGGAAGACTTTCTCACTATCTCTCTCTCTCATTGTCCACTCTGCCTGTCAAAAATAAATAAATAAAAAAATTGCTAAGTCTTTCAATTAAAAAACAAATTATTTGTTTTGATGTTGATAGACAAGTCCAAGTATGCCTGCTAAACATTTATGTATAATTTCCATTTCAAACTGGTTGACTGTTAATTCCCAAATCCTACCCAAATGATAAGGGAAATATATTAATAAATCCAGAGAAGTGACAGAAAATATGAGAAGGGTTCAAACAAAATTTCTTAAAGAAAAAGTGTAAATCTGGGGTGGGCATTGTGGCACAGCAGGTTAAGCCATGGCTTGAGATGCCCACATCCCTTGTCAAAGTGCTGTTTGAGTCCTCGCTGCTCTGCTACAGATCTAGCTCCCTGGTAATGCATCTGGGAAGCAGCAGCTGGGGCTCAAGTTTTTGGACTACCTGCTACTCACATGGGAGACCCTGATAGAATTCCTGGCTCCTGGCTAAGGCCTACACTGCAGTTTCAGCCATTTGGGGATTGAACCAATAGAAGCAAGTCTCACATCCCCCCATCACTCTACCTTTTAAATAAATAAATATTTTTTAATACAGTTCTATAAACCACATAAAAAACTTCTCTATCCTACCTCCTTTATAGTCAAACCCTCTCATCACCCTTAAACCCTAGAAACCACTCATCTATTTATTATTACCACTAAGTTACTTTTTCCACAAAGTCTCATAAATAAAAGAGGATTAGTGTATCTAAAATCGGGCACCTTTCACTTAGCATAATGTATTGTTGACTATCTCACATTATTCAAAGTATCCACAGGTTGTTGCTTTCGATTGTTGAATAGTATTCCATATGAATGCACCACAATCTCTTTATCCATTCCCCAGATAAAAGACACTTAGATGGTTTTCAGATTTGTGCAATCACAAATAAAATTGCTATAAATATTCATATACAGGTTTTCAAATACTCAAACATAGGTTTTCATGTGAACATAGGTTTTCTTGGGTAAATATCTCAAGTGGGATTTATGGATTATATGGCTAAGTGTCTTTCACTTTATAAGAAACTTAATTTTTGTTAAGAGATTTAGCTTGAGGTTCTTTAAGTATGCATGTCCACTTATTCTAGCACCTTTTGTTGAAAAGACCATTCTTTCTATGCTGAATTACCATTGCATATTACTTAGGTCTATTTCTAGACTATATTATGTTATTGTTCTTTGTGCCTATATGCCAACACCACACATGTCTTGATTACTATACCTCCTTTAAAAAAAAAACTATTATATTCCTTTGGAAGGCAAAGTTACAGAGACAGAGACAGAGAGAGATAGAATCTTCAATCTTCTGGTTCACTCCCCAGATGGCTGCAATGGCCAGGGCTGGGCCAGGCTAAAGCTAGGAGTTTCATCTGGGTATCCCATTTGGATGGCAGGGGGCCAAACACTAGGGACACCTTCCATTGTTTTCCTAGGCTATTAGTGGGGAGCTGTAGCAGAAGTGAAGCATCAGGGACACGAATTGGTGCCCACATGGAATTGCAGGCAGTGGCTTTACCTGCTGCACCACAGCTCTGACCCCTAAACTTTTTCAGTTCAATTTTTCTATGATGTTGAACATTTTTTCATCCATGTTTGTGAGAGAAGTTGGTATGCAGTTTTCTCGTAATGTCTTTATAATTTAGGTATCACATGAGTGGGCTCTGGCAAAGTTAGTATTACAAAATCAAAGTTTGTGCTGACACTTTTCCATCCTGTACCAGAGCAAAACTTATGAGAGTCACATTTTCCAGGAATATATTCTATCATCAGCAGGAAGAAACAAAGTTACCTCTTTCCCAATATTCATACTCTTCTTTTTTATTGATTTTGCTAAAATATTTACAATATTGAATCATTACTGCCTTATACTAGATTTTTTTAAGAACAGCTTTATCATCTCATAACTTGGATTGTTTACTGGATTTTATTTTATTTTCACAAATGGTTTAATTTTCTTATATTCTTACTTTAACTTTTTAAGTAGAAGTGGCTGCTCCACTTTCAATCCAGCTCTCTGCTCTGGCCTGGGAAAGCAGTGGAAGATGGCCCAAGTGCTTGGGCCCCTGCACCTGCATGGGACACCTGGGAGAAGCTCCTGGCTCCTGGCTTCAGATAGGCACAGCTCCAGCCATTATGGCCATTTGGGGAGTGAACCAGTGGATAGAAGACTCACTCTCTCTCTCTCTCTCTCTCTTTCTTTCTCCCTTTCTCTGCCTCTGCCTCTCTGTAACTCTGCCTTTCAAATAAATAAATAAATCTTAAAAAAAAAAAGATTATATGGGCTTTGGGGCCGGCACTCTGGCGTAGCAGGTAAAGCCACTGCCTGCACTGCTGGAATCCCATCTGAGCACTGGTTTGAGTCCCAGCTGCTCCACTTCCAATCCAGCTCTGTGCTATGGCCTGGGAAAGCAACAGAAGATGGCCCCCAAGTCCTTGGGCCCCTACACCCACATGGGAGACCCAGAGGAGTCTCCTGGCTCCTGGCTTTGGACTGCCACAACTCCGGCCATCTGGGGAGTGAGCCAGCGGATGGAAGCCCTCCCTCTCTCTCTCTCTCGCTCTCTGCCTCTGCCTCTCTGTAACTCTGCTTCTCAAATAAATAAGTAAATCTTAATAAAAAAAGATTATATGGGTTTTATGAAATTAATTGGAAAAAATAGTTTTAACATCAAAATCACCTGTCATATCATGGTCAACAAGAACTCAAGTTCAGAATTCACATACTCCTAATGTGTTTCCTTTTCCAAATTACAAAATTGAAACATAAAGATGAGAATAGGGGCAGTTGTGGAGTGAGGCACAGAAGTTATATTGTTGCTTGGGGCACCTAAATCCCATGTTGAAGTGCTTGATTTTAGTTGTAGCTCCTCAACTTCCACTCAAATGAACCATCTGGGAACACAGCAGATGATGGCTCAAGTACTTGGGTCCCTGCCACCATGTGAGAGACATGAGTGTAGTTCTGGGCTCCTGGTTTCAGCCTGTCCCAGCCCTGGCTGTTGTGGACATTTAGGGAGTGATCAAGTATCTCTCTCTGTTGTCTGCCTTTCAAATCAATAATCTTTAAAAAAAAAAAAAGAATAAGAATGGGGAAATAATCTTCAATGAGTACAAAGCCTCAATTAGATGGGAAAAATAAGTATTTTTTCTTTGAAATATAATGCACAGTGAGTGAATATAGTAAAAAATGTATTTTACATTTCAAAATCACTGAGTAAATTTCAAACGTTCT